TCATTCTGGCTCCCTCTTATGGCCAATTGAAGAAAACAGCAACCAATCACATTTTACAGTATGATTTAAAGAAACAGGTACAACATTGTTACATGTTTATATATTGCCAACTCAACCGTTAGATTATATTCCTAACAGTCTTTTTCTTTATAAGAGAGTACTGAAAGAAACAATAGTAAATAGCACATTTGTTAAAGATTGTGGGAATATTAAAAACATTGTTAAACAGGAAGAAAGAACAACTAACACTCTGTAGGCTTAATATTAATTGAATTGGAAGTATGTGTCACTATAGCTTACTCCCAAGAAATATTTATAGAATATTGTAGCCTAAGGTATTCCAAAATGTATACTATCTCCAGCCTATTTGAGTTTAGCATGTTTTTTGAACACAGCTATTATGTTACGAATCATAATTAGCCAACAAACGGAGTGATTTATGCTTTTATACTTGTTATTCTCAAATAGGGTTAAGCTTGATGAGAGTTATTAGAGGAATAGTCATTACAGTCCCTATGAATATTCCACTAGGAATATGGCATATTAGGCAGCCAAACACACAATTCACTTATTTTTCTCTTGGATTATATAACAGTAGTAAAATATCTCACCAGGCATCCTATAAAAAAGACGTTTTCCACTACCATCATTGGTTTGCAAATATTTACTGTCTAAAGACCAGTCCATATGGGTTATAAAACTTGAGGATCCAACACATTCTCCAACCTTTTTATATCGTTGAATAACACCATAAATGTCAACAGAGCTGTCATTGGAGCCAACTGCAAGGAAATTTCCATCTGGTGAATATTTTAATTCATGAATAGCTTCCTTCCTATCCTTAATGTGAACAACTTCTGTCATATCTCTGTAACACAGAAAATGGATTATATTGATTAAAGCTACATTTAAAATGATTAATCTCTGTTGAATCTCTGTCACCTCATGAATATATCTACATACTGAAATAATATGGAAATAGCTTGCAATTGACTTCTGGGATATTTTTTATATTTTTTTGTTATTTCCTAAATCATAGGCAAGATGCCTTAATTATTAGCTTTCATGAAGTGACAATGAATAATGTTCATAATGTTATATCACCTTTCAATCTACTTTTGTGAGCTTCCTTGCACTTCTAGTTGGCCTTTGTATAACAAAGAAAGTTGGATTAAAAGGTTGTGCATGATCCAGTACAGCAGTTTTCACCCAAGTAGAAAAATAGAAAAGCTTGCCATGAATTCTAAACAACTTTACTTACTGATCTGAGTATTTTTGAAATGCCGTCTCCACAAAAGTTTGACTGGTATTTAATAGTATTTTAGTCATTATATATATATGAATGGTATATTAATTTATATTGTCCTAAGATAGTAATTATTTATCTTGCTGCTGCCTAGTTTGTATAATGTTTTCATCTTGCATTTTATTTGATTTTGTTGTATATCTTTTGTTGAACTGGATTATTTCTTCATGTGTGTGCACATGTACAGTATGCACACATGCTTACTATAAACCTAAAACCTTTGACTACTGAATAGCTTAAAAATAAAGTAAATGAAACATCAGATTAAAGCATAAAAGTGATGATCTTGCAGAAAAACTAAAATAAAATGCTTACTATCAAGGCTACAGAAACCAACTTTCTGCAAAAAAAAATATACATTCTACATTCCACAGTGGCACATACAGTATAGGGATTTTAAGCAATTGCATTAAAAATGAGTACAAATGAAAAAAAATGGATGTACTACTTATGTCATGCAACTAGCCAGTAGGGGTTAAGAAAATTACTATTCATTGGGGAAAGCAAAGTTCATTTTACGTTAAAAGCTCCAAAGGTATTACTTACCTAACACGAAGTACTGTAAAAGAACCATCTTTCATTCCAAGAGCAAGATGAATTCCATCAGTGCTAACAGCTGCACAACGAATGGGTTCTTCCATGTTGCACCGTGCAATTAGTGCATGATCTATAAGGCTCCATATTCTATAAGAAATGTATTTCATGCAAACAATATATTATTGCCTTTGCAGCAGAAAACAGAACTGATTTTCCCTTTACAAGCAGATAACTTTTCTTCTTGGTCTTCTAAATCAGACTGATATTGAGAGTTTATTCTCATCATGTCAAAATATATTTGAGTACTGAAGGGCAGTGATCCCCAACCTTTCCGGCTTGGCAGACCAGCTTAGGTGGTGGTGGTGATGGCAGTGAGGGGGGCGGGGAGAGAGGGGATGGTTTCACAAGTGTGCTGCTTTAACAAATGTAGCTTTGCGCATGTGTGCGAGTGACTTGCCCACTTTTGCGGCCTGGTTCTGAATGGGCTACAGGCCAGACCTCTGGTTTGGGAACCCCTGCTCTAGTGCATATTTCTCTGGCTTTATGGTTATTGTCTAATTGCTTTGTATGACTGCAGGCCAATTTCTACTCAGTTCAAATTAGGTATACTATTATTACCACTCTAAAAACATTAGTCCTTGCAACTCTTTTTTGCATTCTATTATTTTCTGTTGCGGTGGGTTTGTTTGTTTGTTTTTGCTAATTTTAAAGCACCTGTTATATATTTTTTTGATCGTATATGTGTCTGTATTTTGTTTCTTTTGTTTTTTCCCCTTTTTTGCTTTTCTGTTATTATTTAAAAGCAATAAAATTATATTAAAAGGTATGCTATTATTACCACATATTGAAAATCTATCTGCCATGTCGGGTACCAATTATCTAATTATTCCACTTACTAGTCAACCAGCTGCATAATACATTTACAAGTAATGCACAACTAGGTACAATTCATGCAAAGAATTAACCTGATAAGGAATGAATCTGCATGAGCCATTGAAAAGAAAAGGAAGAAATATGTCACACGTCTTTATCTGATTCAGACTGTTGAACATGTACAATATTTGTACATTTACATAAATTTCATCTAATTTTATGAGCATTAGGTTCCAAAAGATTTAATCATGATAGTCACATTATGGCATCAAAAGCTGATTTTACAATAAAGGAATAATTTTACTGGGTAGTAATTTGTATAATAAATTTGTATAATGTATAATGATTTATATAATTAGTTTGTACTTTAGAATTCAAATGACACTTTATAGAATCTTGTATCTTTTTAGAAATGCATGGAGCTAACCTAACTGATCGATCATCACTCCCAGTTACGGCTAATGGTTTTGTAGGATGAACTGCCAGGGCCCAAAGCTCTCCTTCACAGTGTCCTTGCATAATAAGAAAAGGCTTATTGCGTTCATGCACCACAATTTCAAAAATTTCACTGTCTTGTGTTCCAACTAGGATGTGATCTCCTCGCCAACAAACACTCCTCACTGACAGACCTAGGAAGAAGTAAAACAATTGTTCAAGCATAGATTTCATACTCAATGTAATTGCTAGTAGATCTGCAAAATTGCTATTCAAGATAGCAGAAAACTAATTAAATTACACATAATGATTAACCCCAAAGAGAGGTTTTATCTATAGTAAATGTTGCATGCACAAATATATTACAGCTGTGCATGTGTCTCAAAACTTGCTTTTCATCCAAGCAGTTTGCCTTTGATCATTTTGCAATACACCTGAAGAAAAGATGTTGCTACTTTAAAGACTGTGCTCAGTAAAGTTAATGGGATTTCCCCCCTCTCCCCAAATTCTTGTGCTTGTGCAGGGTCCTACCACTTCTTCCAAATTATTTTTTAAATAATTTTCTTTAAACACCAATTTTTTAACACCAATATCTACCTTTCTCTGTAAGATGTTATGTATATATTGTATGAACAAGTTAGAGGTCACTCAACCCCTACAAAGTTCAACAGAAATAATTCCTAAGAATAGTACATACTGTATGTGTGCAACCTAAGAAGCCCTATTTTAGCTAAACTCCTACATGTTTGGAGAATAAATTTGCTCATTTAACAATATGTCCAAAGTGATTGATCCAGATATTCCCATTTCAAGGCTCTAATTTAGACTCTAAAATCTGTCTGCAAAATGTTCCAATAGTCAACAGAAGAAAACTGAGAGAGGAAATTAAAGATACAACAAAATAGAGCATCAATAGATATGAAGCAGGAAGTCTAAGTTGAGCTAAAGAATGTAGACTGCTAGTCAGCTTGGATTACTAAATGGTTTGTCCTACAGGAGAATTTTTATTAAAAAAAACTTGTGAGATATGCTCAAAATGATTGAGCAAACTTACACTAATTTATTTTTACCCCAATAGCTTGTTAAATGATAAAAAGATATCAAAGCATATTTGATATCTGTTTAAACCCAAATGCCATTACAATTGTGTACATTATCACAGCCTTCTGTCAAAAGGCTAAACCAAGTAGAAATATTTTGGCAGATTTCTAATGAGAATCCTATTGAGGATTTACCTTATGTAATTAGCTTAATTGTACCAAAGTCATAATCCATCAAATATAATGTTCCCTTCATGATTTTTTTCATATTCCAATTATCATACCTCCAGTTTCTCAGTGATTAAAAGCATTAGTAAGCATGTTTTGTTATGACTCAGTAACAGCAGTATTGCGGTATAATAATTTTAAAGAACATCAGAGGGGGGAGGATAAGAGGAGGGAGACTGAATATATGAGCAGAACGATAACTACCTTGATTTAAACTCAAGTGGCAGAACCATTTCATGCATGAAATTTATCACAGTCTTATTATTACTCCAGATGCATTCCTAGCTTGGCAAAGCAAAGCTTAAATCTAAATTATATACAGATTTTCATTATTACATGCTCACATTTGGTGCTGATTATAATCAGGGCTAGGAAACATTATTTTATCACCAACAGAGTGGAAATAACAACCAGTAGAACTACCTATTGATGAAAAAGGGCCACTTCTCCGCTGTCCAACTCCAGCTCTGAAAGTTATTCATTTGGAACACAAACTGATTTACTAGGTAGGAACATGTTTTTTTTCCCTACTTCACACTTATGAAAAATTATCTCTTAAATAAACTGATTAAAATAATCCTTTTTTTTTTACCTTTATACCCCTGGTCGGTTTCCCTGAGATCAATTGCAGTAATGGGTTTAAAATTTAAATCCCAAAGACGAATGCAGCCATCCCTGCCACCAGTGGCAAAACCTTCTTCACATGCATTCATGCTGAAAATTCCTGCCTAGCAGAGAAAAAAAACACCACATATTTAATTAGAGATTGTTCTAAAAAGTAAAGTCACTTTCATATCAAGGAACATGATTATTCAAATAAGATAAATGGTTTTTATTTATTTATAATGTCTCAGAATAACTAAACTAATAAGAGATATTGTATCTTAAAATAGAAAATAACAATTATATGCATGTTGGTATTTCTGGAAAATCCTTTCTTGAATGCAATTTATACATTCAAATTATGCATTACATAATTACAAAAACCATTGACAGCTTTTTATAATTCTTCAATAATTTGCTAACCGAAATAAAAATATGCAAAATGTCTTTCCAGTAGTATTTTCTATTATCATATCTGTTTTATTTAAGTTAATATTAAACCAATTATTTTAGTGTCATATACAGTAGCTCAAATATTTTTTTAATTTTTCTAGTTACAATAACTAGAGAAATTAGTCACAGATCAATTAATTCATTGGTGGGTTCCGGATCCCGGTGCAATCTATACGGTGCAAGGGGGCCGGGCGTCCACCACATGAATGCGCGCAGCACATGTATGCTTACTTACAGCCCGTGATGCTCCAGCTGCTCAGCAGAATGTCGCGCAGGCACTGTATGCTCCATGCACATGCACAGAAGCCCCGAACAGCTCAAATACAGATAAGGAGCACGAGTGAGTGGACAGGCCCTCCAGAGCACTGTACCGTACCAGTACTTGGTGCTCCCAACAGGCACCAGCACGCTCGTACTGGGGCGTATCGGTCGTATCCTACCACTGAACTAATTACAACTTGCATGAGCTTTTTATATGTAGATAACAGATTTTATGTACTAGCAACGCAGGTATTTCTAAGTGAAAACTATTATAATCAAATTATCTTTCACATACCCTGTTTCCCCGAAAATAAACCCACCCTGAAAATATTGCCACACAGCAGCAGCCATGAGGTGACCATTCTTGCCGCTTCCTGCACCTCAAAAATAATACCTCCCCAAAAATAAGGCTGTGCTTATTTTGGGGATCAAAAGAAAATAAAACCCTGTCTTATTTTCAGGGAAACACAGTAGCATGTAGAACTATTGATAGAAGACAGTCCTTTTCTGTACTACAAGTTCAACAGTGCACTTCTTGAGAAGAGCTGTTCCTCTGGGTCAATTTCTAAAATCATTTAGAAGCAACCAAAATGTCTTTATTGAGAATAGCATATCAGGCTAATTTGATAATTAAAGAACTGTCCCAAAATGTTCTATCCCATGCAAAAACATATAAAATTGCATGACAGATCAGAAACAGCAATGCTGAGGGAAAAACAAACTGCAGATAATACAAGTGCAACATAATGACAAGAAAATAAGAATGATTTCAAATCTCAACTCTCTCTTTGACAAAAGTGAATAAGGTTACATTTTGAGCTGTCAAATAAGATCAAATAAAAGTAGAAATTTTATAATGATCATAGCCCAGCATAAGGAAGGTGAGTACAGTAATTAGAAAAGCACAAAGGGTACCTCAAGAATCAAAATTAAAAATCTAAGATAAAATATGAAAAGCAATAAGAGATAAAGGATGTGAATTAAAAACTAACCATAAAAAATATATAAAAAAGCAAGAATCTAAAGCAGGGAGGTCAAACTCAAGGTGCCCAGGCCAGATCCGGCCCACAGGATGCTTAGATCTGGCCTGTGGGCCAGCCTGGAAATATCAAAGGACTGGCCCATGGTGCCTCTGCCAGACAAAATGGGCTGTGCCCCCCCCCCCGTGCAGATAAGGCTGTGGAGGCCAAAAACCTCCGGGGGGGGGGGGGCTTCAGGGCTTCTATGCAGCCCATTTTTGGCCAGGAGAGTGCTGAAGGAGGGCATGGAGCCAAAAAATGGGCCGTGCGGAAGCCCAGGGCTTCTGTGTGTCCTGTTTTCAGTGGGCAGAGTGCTACAGCAGGCCTGGCTTGGACTGGATTACAATTATGTGGCCTCAAGTAAGTGCCTGATCTGGATAGAAAACAAGCAACATCCTATGTTAATACTACAATTTAGTACCAGATTTTACATACTGTAGGTGCATTTAATCTACAATCAACCATCTATTCTATATTCCATATTCTGTATTCTATTCCATACTCCATTTTGTATCTATAATTGACAGCCATTTCTGTTTACTATCCTGGAAATTTACCTCTGTTGTTAGACCTTGTATTATGCTATTGTATGCTAAGAGTTTAGTAGAATATGAAGAATAAGTAATAAATGTTTTCAGTAATTTCTGATAAAAGAGGAAAATGGTTATAGTAATGAACTGTGGAAAGAAAGAAGGGCAAAAATGAATCTTGAGCCTATGTCAAATGCTCACCATGGCTACCCGGCGACCGCTCACCCGGCCATGATCACAACAACTCCCAACTGGCCACAACCATCCCCAGCCCTCTGAGGTAAAATACATCCCTGATGCAGCCCTCAATAATATTGAGTTTAACACCCCTGATCTAAAGGAAGGAGTAGGAACATTATATGGGTACAGAGAAGTTAAAAATTAGTTTGTGGAAGATTATATCTTTCAAGTTACAAAGCACTCTAAAGTAGAGAACTGGATTATCATTAGGTCTGGTTTATAATTTAGGTCATAATCCAACGAATTTTGAGCACTGCTGCATAGAATCTGTGCAAAGTGAGGGCATCTGTGGACATGCCAGTGGGATAAAACAAGTTGCTGCTCTCCTTTCTCTGCCATCTGATTGGCTATCAAACCCCTCTTTCCTCCAGGAAGGCTTGGAGTTCTGGCAAGACTCAGTGAAGAATCAATACAACATGGGCAGCAAAGCAGAGGTACCATTTCTTTAGCAGGGAGACATCCTTTGGCTTGTCCAGTGAAAGAAACCTGCAGCTGTTTCTCCTGTATGTCAGATAATGAATTTGGTCTATAATCATATTTCTCTTTTCTATAGATTGTATATGGGAGTTTTTTTACACAGCATGCTAAAATTTGGAGGTGAATATTCATCAAGCTTTATTATAATTATGTGTGCAAGAGAGTTTACATGGCATTAACAGAGGCAAAAATGCTGTTATTTAATTCTAAATGATTAAAAAATCAAAATTATAAAATGCTTCATGCCTGTTTATATATTTATATAATTAATAAATAAATTGCCAAGCAACTCTGGTTGTTAACAAGTTAAAAGTCAGTTTGGTCTAGTGGTTAAGGTACCAGGCTAGGTCAGGAAATTCTAGTTCTAGTCCTGCCTTAAGTATAGAAGCCAGCTGGCAGATTTGGGGCCAATCTTTCTCAGCTGAACCCATCACACAAGGTTTTGTCATGGGAAGATGAAGGAGTATTAGGTATGTTCATTGCCTTGAATTAGTTATGAAAATAATAAAGGCAGGATAAAACATATTTTAAAGTATTAAAAATAAATATTTTACTGCAATCCATTTACAAACCAGTGTTTTTCCTGCCTGTTTTTTTTTAAACTGAAGAAAAAATAAAGATTGTCATATCAAAATTCTACTTACGGCATGCGCTCCTTGTATGGTTCGTATAAGGTTGACTCCTTTCCATACATAAATATCTCCATTAAGTGCACCAGAATATGTTATTTCATCTCTTGCACAGGCGAGGCACAAAATAGTTTGGAGATCACCAGTCTTACCAAATACACCACGCTTTGGTGTCAATGAATTTCCACACAGACTCCAGAACTGTAACATAAAAGTTATTTGCTTTAGTAACATTATTCACGAAGTATTTTAAGCCACTAAATAAAACACAAACTTTTGAGATGGATAGCTGCCAAGACAAAGCTCCAAATTTTGATTTTTTTTCTTCCACTGTCATATATTTAAGTAAATAATATGATGCCCATGCACTTCAGTGTCATTTTTGTTCTATATAAAGAGACAGGAAATATGGAAGTATGCTGTTGTAATCACATATATTACAGGAGAGAGATGAAATCAAGAAACATAGTTGTATCATTAAACTGCACATTTCTAGTAAAACAGCATCCACATTTTGTTTTCCATTTTCATCAAACCACATAAAAGAATATGCAGAACTTAATATTATTTCTATTTCTCTGAGAGAGAATACTGCTGAATTCACTATTATTTATTCTTAAGTCTATATAGTAAATCCATATTTACACATACTGCAGGATGAGCCACTTAAATCAATGGGATTAGAAGTTCCACTGGTATCAGTGAATCTACTAAAATCTAAAGTGATCTTGCAAGAAACATATCATGTATATCCGTGAAGAATACAGAACAAATCCTATTGACAGACAAAATATTTAGGCTTTAAGAACAAACAATGCAAAATTAATATTAAAAAGTGGTGTCTGATTCTACAGGCGGTAACCATCTCCATTTCATAGCCGAGAGAATCAGCTGAAAACCTTTCTGTGGTCATGAGGCTAGCATGACTATACACCAAGGCATACAGAGTTACCTTCCCACCAAAGTGGCACCTATTTATCTACTTGGATTTACATGCTTTCAAATTGCTAGATTGGCAGGAGCTGGGGCAAGAATGGGAGCGCATCCCATCACAAGGTACGTGGGTCTCAAACTGTCAAGTTTCTGGTTAAAAAGCCCAGTGTTGTAACCATTAGTCCACCGTGTCCCCTTATATATTAATGAATTAATATAGATAACATTACTAGATCTTTTACATATTATCTACTTTGGATAATATGGAGCTACTTTGTTCCATAAGAGGCAAGGCTGGATAATTCTACATACTGTAGGCATTTCTCATCTCAGAAACAAACAGGGGGCTTGGCAAACATAAGCCTATGTTTGGTTCATATTTGGGAATTTGAAGTAGTTTTTGTAGACTATGACAAATAAAAGACTGATGTTCTTCATGTTAGGTTTTTTTCAAAAGTGTTAATAATTAGCAACCAGATTACAAGTGAGCTCCAAGCCACTCTGAATTAATAAACCCTCAAATCTAAGTGGACCATACAGAAAGTATTATTTCATTAGCTTGGGCTACATTTTTTGACTTAACCTAGTTTACTAATATCCTAGTCCTTGACTCGGTCTCTTTTTAACTCTGAAGCTGCTTGATAGCTCATCTGCTTGGACTACATATATGAATATTGGCTTGATGTTTTATTCTAATGTGAGTTACTAGCTTTTTCATTTAAACTTTTTGATTTATTTACAGTATTTGTATGATGCTGCTGATTTGATTGACAGCTTGTTTGCTCAACAGCTTGCCATGCAATATGTTAAAACCAACTAGAAAATATCTGATTCAGACAAAAATAGACAAAGGATAGAACAGAAATAATTATAAGCATATACAAAAACCACAATCAAAAATCCCAATAGGCCTCAGAAAAAGATACACATAGGCCGGAACCCCTGAAAAAATGTTTCCAATGGAAATGTTAAGCAATTCCAATTGTTCTGTGCATGCACAGAAGTGAAAAACAAGATGGAGAACCAGTTCGGGGGCGTGGCAGACCTGGGTTGCTGCGGGTTCCAGCGACCCAGACCGCCAAACCACTACTGGTTCGGCTGAACCAGTCCGAACCGGTAGGAACCCATCACTGAACAGCACTGATAAAAGTTACACACTTATGACTACTGCAGCATCGCCATAGTCATGTGATCAAAATTTGGATGCTTGGCAACCAGTTGATATTTATGACAGTTGCAGTGACCCGGCGTCATGTTATCACCATTAGCGACTTTCTGACCAGCAAAGTCAATGGGTAAGCCAGATTCACTTAATAACTGTGTTATTAACACATCATCTGTAGTGATTCACTTAACAACTGTGGCAAGAAAGATCGTAAAATGGAGAAAAACTCACTTAACTATCTCACTTAGGAACAGAAATTTTGGGCTCAATTGTGGCTGTAAGTCAAGGACTATCTGCATTAGCTGGTGGCTGACTGTTAGCATTTCTAGATGTCCTCCTTCCACTCAGGTTTCAACAGCCAATGCATCTGAATTATATGCCCGCACTTTTCCCATATCAGCAGTCATCTGCATGAAAACAACTTTTTCCCAATGCTTAGCATAAGAGCAATTTGATAACATAAATACTGTATTGCCAAGAAAACTAGAGATGTGGACAAGCAAAGAATAGACAACTATGTCTCTCGGGAATGTTTTAACTGTCACACTGTGATAGTGGCTTTAACAGCCAATTTCAATTTTATGATTCGTTGATTGTCATCTGTAATATACAAATACATTTTTTAAAAAATAACTTGAGATACTATTTGTGTCTGGGGAAGGCAGGCATCAATATATAGCAACAGAAGATCAGCCATTCTAAGAAACAGGAAGGAGTCTAGAGACTAGGTACTCAGAAATAACTCCATTCCATTGTAACCTGTGGTTTGCATTCAAAAACAAACTGACAAATAATACAAGAGGAGAAAGGATTAACTCAGAAATAAATTCTGTGAAATTATGCAGGCCATGCTGAAAGGTTAATCCTGAGATCCAATGGAAGATTTTTGACTTCAGGTTCAGTAATATGCATTCCCAATAAAGCTTAACCAGCACCTGATCAATTTTATTGAGGTATGATATGTAAGAGCAAATGAATGAGTAGGAATTAAGAAAGCAAGCAAGGATGTTCAGTTAAGACTTGAGAAATTTTTTACAGAATATTCTTTACAAAATAAAAATAAATCAAACCTAAAGGTATTACCTAAAATTAATACATTTTATAAAATGAATAGGCTTTGATAGAACTCTAACAGAGAAGCAGTATATTATATAAATGAGAGAGCAATTGCAACTAAGCTAATTGTAGACAATTAAACAAAATTATATACTTACTATCCACATATTTAAATAATAAAATCAGATAGAAACATATATTTAGCCTCACTATAGTGAGACACACCAAATTGTCCTGTTTTTTGTTCTACTTTCAGAAACTCTATTTAAAAATTAAAATACAAATTCCTATTTAAATGCTTTTAATAAATTCTGTAATATGTTCCAAAATAAGTTAAAGTATGGCATAAAATACTACATACATACATATATCAATTATAATTAGATTAATAAGGACAGCAATCTAAAGCTTCCAGTGAAGGCTGCTGAAAAACTACTGATGGCACTTTTGCCAGTAGAAAGGAAAATTAATAGAAATAAAAGAAAGTAAGTAGAAAAATAGTCTGTATAGGTTTATGACTATTGTCTGACAGTCAGTTGCCTGTCCTTTTTTAATTATCTTCATGAAAATGAAGTAGCAGATCTCCAACAAGAAAAATATAATTCATATTTCCTCTGTAAGCTGTTTAAGATCTGACATGACAAAATCTTCCATTTCTTCCCATATACAATAAAATTTTACAAATAATGCAATGGTCTGCTTCAGGAAGGGAAAGGCCCACTGCTTGTTTTTGGTACACAAAAATAGCTAAGGCTGCATTCTTATTAACCCTAGCCTGCAACATTAACTATGTATTGCTACTTGGTATCTTGATTCCCACCATTAGCAAGAACCAATGAGAGTTAATGGTTAGAAATAACTAGCTAAGTGGAAAATATTTGTGGCTGACTACAATCCAGACCTAGTCAATGATCTTTTCTAACTTCAATTATTTTAATGCTCAGTTTTCAAGACAAGCTATGCAATTGAACTGTTGCTTCCTTGTTTCTATATAAGTTGCTCACCTAACATGCCATGTTTTATTACAGTCTGAAAAGAATTTTTGCCCATATCTTAAATATTCCAATATTTGTAAACATTACAGTTACATTTCTAGAAAGGAAAGCATTTGAAAAAGTTTTCAGGCCACCAGATAAAATTTCATTGCTTCTTCTTGATGAAATTCCTGGCTTTGCAGCATTTTATTAGCTTTCACAGTACAAAACAGATGACTCACAAAAGAAATCAAGAAAATATTTATGTGATACATGTAGTCCTCCACTTACAATTGTAATGGAGCCCAGAAATTCTATTCTTAAGTCATGATGGTTGTAAGTTGAGGCACCCACATGACTGGACCCATTTTTTTAAGCCAATAGAACCCATGATGGTGAACCTATGGAATGTGTGCCGCCAGCTCCTGTGTGCATTTGTGCACCAAACAGCTGATTTTTGGCCTTCCGGAGGGCGGGTGATGCCGTTTTCACCCTCCCCAGGCTTCAGGAAAGCCTCTAGAACCTGGGGAGGGTGAAATAGTAGACCTGCGAAAGTGCCCCCCCCCGTCCCCCAGAAGCTGGAACGGATTGTTTCTGAACTTCTGGGCCCATTTTTCGCCCTTTCTGGGCTTTCCTGGAGCTTCGGAAGGGCAAAAATGGCCTCTCCTAGCTCCCTGGAGGAAATACCAAGCTCAGCTTGGAAGTGAACAGTGGGGCGTGCTTGGGGGGAAGCATGGGGGATGTGCATGTGGAGGGGAGGGCGCTTTGCCATCACTGCAATAGACTATAAACAAATATGTAGCATCTGTTTAAGATAAAGCTCAAGCGAATAAATTACTATTATTTTAAATATTATATGTTATGATATTTTTGAATCAAGCATTCACCTTACTCTGAATATATTATAATATATTTAAAGTGTGTAAATAGTTCTAGACACAGATTTGATAATAGCAACATATTTTATTAACTTTTTCTGTCTGGTAACTGAATGCTTTCCTAAAGAATTCAAATAAATTCAAGCACTTATAATTTCCTTGTTATATATTCTTTGTTTTCTTACAAGACCTATTTCTTGGTGTGTTCTCCCCCCTGGATGGCATGCTGACTGGCAGATGATCTCTTTTCTCTTCTCATACAGTTGATTATGCAGGATAAAGTCTGTTTTTTTTCCAGTCATGTTATCCAAAATTTGAAATGGCTTTGCAATACCAATAGCATATAGACTAATATACTGCACCATAGAGCTTTACAGCACTCTCTAGGAGGTTTACAGAGTCAGCATAGTATGCCCAATAATCCAGATCGTCATTTTACCGACCATGGATGGATGGAAAACTGAATTGAGCCCTCTATAGGGCTCAATTCAGTCTTCTATCCTTCCGAGGTTGGTAAAACTCCAGGCTGTGAGCAGAGTTTGCTTGCAGTATTGCATTCTAACCACTGCGCCACCAGGGCTCCATTGCCTGATTTTGGATGGACAGCAAACATGGCTTCATTCAGAAAAGTTTTAATTCTGTTGTGATTTCTGCTCTCTCAAGCATTGTGTTGAAGAATATTGGATAGCATTTTCTATATAATCTTATAACTAGTTATGTATTTATTCATTCAACCAATAATCACTGTAGTCTGGTAGCACTCCAGCTTGTTAACCAAAAAAGTTCATAACAAAAACATCCAGAATAAATATTAATAGTGTACCAATAAATTAATAATGATCACTCAATGAAAAGCAAAGACCAACAATAATACAAAAAAACCCTGATGACAGCTGCTCAGTTCACAAAAGCTCTTTGGAACAGCTCCATCTTCAGCATTTCCTGAAATGAATAGACAGAGAGAACCCTTCTGATCTTGGCTGGAAGGCTGTTCCAAACCGCAGGAATTGCCACATAAAAGCATTACCTCTGTGCTTCAGCCCCTCTCACTTCTAGAAATGAGAAACTACCAACAGCTTCTTCTAGGACAATCAAGTTAGTTGGATTGATTCCAGCTTGTAGCAGTTGTGTAACTCAGTTAAAGAACAGTGGGAAATAACTTAGCTTTTATGTATTAATTTTATTTTGTTTTGACAAGAGTGGAACTGCTTATGCTGACTAATAAGATTTCAATTTAAATAATTTTGTGCCAAATACTGCAGCCAAGGAGATGGAATGTCCAAGAAAGGACATTTCCACAACTGGGCCAACTGGAGTTAAACTTATTACTGCATCACTGCAGGATTATAAACCATCTATAAATTTTATAAATGAAATAATTAATAAATAAATGGTGGTCTATAAATTGTATAAAGAAAAAATAGCAATAGCACTTAGACTGTTTCAAAGTGCTTCACAACCCTCTCTAAACGGTTTACAGAGTCAACGTATTGCCCCCAACAATCTGGGTCCTCATTTTACCAACCTTAGAAGGATGAAAGGCTGAGTCCACCTTGAGCCAGTGAGAATCAATCTGCTGGCAGTCGGCAGAATTAACCTGCAATACTGCATTCTAACCACTGGGCCACTAGGGCCTTCAGTTCACCCCTGAGGTATTCTATCTTGTCCATATAAAAAAGGTATATTTTATTCATTTTTAACTTTACATTTGGAGACCACTCAACTCCTAGAAGACTAAGGGCTTTCAGAACACCTCAAAAGACCAAACAATTAAAAATAAAGTATACACTAGGGTAGAAAAGATCTGTTGTGACGAAATGGAAACAGAAGTGAAATATATGTTTTCTTACCTTAATATGTTTTACACCACAGCTAACAAGTTTGTTTGGTTGGTACAAATCCCAAGAAATGTCAAATATCTGAACAGGGGACAGACAAAAAAATGTTGGTCTTGAAAATAACATTAATTATAGAGAAAAGCAAACATATTTAGAGAAATACATCCACATCTCCTTATCTAATAAATTATATAAGGTTTTGCTGGAAATATTTTGTCCAATAGATTTTCTTAAACTTCTTAAATATTTGTAGATTTATAATACAAACAGGTAAGGTTGTTAATTTAAATCATCATGAAAGCCAATCAAGGCTCTTTGCAAGAAGAGTATAATACTAACCATATTTAATTCACTGTAATTTCCTCCTAAGCAAATATGGGTAAAAAGCCTTACATAGAATCAAAAGTATAAACTATGGATTGTCACTTATTTGTGATTCCACTAGAAATGGTTGGATCAAACTTTCCAGACACAGAAAAAGGTTCTTGAAATATACAGAGAGAGTAAATAAAATTATACGTACTCTGTCAGTGTGACCAGGAGCCATGGACAACATTTTTCCTTTTCTCCAATCCCAGACACAGATTGTATTTTTTGAATCCAAACCAACTGAAAGCAAACGCTAACAATTCCCAAAATATTAAAGGAGAATAAAAGAAAACATTAATACTCCAATGATAATACATTCTGAATGATTCAGGTTGTGTGCGGGANTGGTCACCTCATGGCTGCTGCTGTGTTGCAATATTTTTGGAGAAGGCTTATTTTCGGGGGAGGGCTTATCTTAGTGCATGTGCTCAAAAGCCCAATTGGGCTTACTATCTGGGGAGGTCTTATTTTCAGGAAAACAGGGTAGGCTTATGACCCTGTACCTTAAGAGTAAAGTCAATTATGGTTACTGACACAGAATAAAGGCAGGCTAGCAATTGGCAAAGGAAACTGTGTAGTTCATATAAGGATACTGTAGTTGTCTCTCAAAGATGTGTGGACAGCAGTTCAACTTGACTACGGGAAAAGGCTAAAAAGAGGTGAAGTATGAATCAAAATCAGAGATGCGGTATTCATTATGTGAATTCCAATTTCACACACTAGCCAAAAATAAATGGATTCAAAACCTCTACTTCATTCTCAGGAAAAGGAGGTTACAGTTGCTAAAATGTAAGTTATAAACTAAAGATTTTTTTTCAGGAGATTATTTCAGTGGATCTTAGAAAAAGAAAGGAACTGCAATGATCAGAAACCAAACGTTAATGTTTGGAATAAAACAGATAAGCAGAAGTCTCATAAAAGAAGAAGAAGGAAGAGAGCTTCGAAGAATTCCCAGCTACTACAACGCTTCTAGGGAATGAAATCAAGCGGGGACTCGGTGCCCTACGGAGGGCGCCCGCCGATTGTCCTGCGATCATTCCCGCAAGGACGGTTCCAAGGAAGGCTTGGAGCAGAACAAGGGAGAAGGTCTGGGGAGGAAGAAGCGGCATCTTACCTGATGATGTCGTCCTGGTGCCCCAGGTAAAATTTTTGCCGGTGATCCCGGGGACTATAGACCACTCCAACCCCCGCCACAAAATACACGATCTCTTTGGCGGCCGTGTAGTAAAGATTGTTGCGACATTGGTGACCTCTGTAGCCATAAACCCACTCCAGCCTCAAGTGGCACTTCGGGGCGCTTCGGTCAGCCATGCCTCTCCGTTCCCCGCTGGAGCGCCGAGGAATGGAGGGAGAGAGGAAGAAGTCAGCCGGCTCTCTGCGCCACGACCGGGGTCTTCCTTCGCTTAATCCTGAACCGCCAACATGGAATCGTCTCATGCAGCCGCCGCCGCCAAGCCGCCCGCTTCAAAGAAAGCGTCGCGCACCGCGCTGAGCTACGCTCCTCCGGGCAGCGCCTCTGCTGCTGTCGCCGCTAGACATGGCTACGCGGCGGCAGTGCTGCCCCCATGGCTCGACGACCGTAGTTATTATCCACCTGCTGGGCCCGACAGCCGACCCAGCGCGACGGAGGCAGAAAACTGCAAGGGAGGCTGCTAGGCGAAGACAACCCCACATGCACACATATAACACCCGCGCGCCCGTCGCCGCCGCCGCGGAGGTACGCGCGGCTACTTGGCTGCTGCGTCGTCGTCGTCGTCCTCCCGAAACCCGCGGGCTCTTCTCCTGCAATGTCAATCCACCCCCGCCCCCCCTTCTCCCCACTGCGGCTGCGCGGTCCCCTTCTGTTGGCGGCGGCCGCCGCTCCCCTTCTGTTTTTCCCGAAGGCTGCCTGGATGTCGGAGTGATGCGTTTCGTCCGCTTCCTTAAGAGGGGCTACGGTGAACGGTTACCCGGTCTTCATTTAGTATTATTATTAATTTGAGCTGGGGGCCCTTTCACGGCCAGCCTTTCCCAGGGCAGCCCTAGCCAGTCCTCGCGTCTCCTAAGAGCCACATGAAGAGGGGGGTAAGGGGAAGCGAAAGAGGCGAAGCTGCCTGCGAGGGTAAGCTGCTTTGCAAATAAGGAGGAGGAGGAACGTGGTTCTAGAGCAAAGAATATCCTAAGCATATCAATTTAAAACAATAACAAAACACCCTTTAAGTAAGGAACCAGACTGCTATTCCAAACCTGACAGAATCTCACTTTCCAGTAGTAAAGTGTCCATAAACGCAGATTTCATTTTTTATTTTTTTATTTTATTTGGTTTGTCAAGCATGTTTGAGAAAACAAGTATAAATATGAATATAACATATAAGTATAACCAGGTATAAATATTTACATAAGAAATGAGTACAAATAAATGGGAACAGTAGGACAGGGAGGGAAGGCATGCTAGCGCACTTATGCACACTGCCTTACACACCTCTTAGGAATGGGGTGAGGTCCAAGATAGACAGTTTAAAGTTAGGTTTTGGGGGTTTCAGGATGTAACAGAGTCAGGTAGAACATTCCAGGCATTGACCACTCTGTTGCTGAAGTCTTATTTTCTGCAGTCAAGTTTGGAGCGGTTTATTTTGAGTTTGTGTCTATCAAATTCTGAAATGGAATTTGTTTTTGAAAAGCTTCTGCAAAATTTCATTGTAAGTGTGGATAAATGTTTAAGCTGCAAAAAAGAATGGCTTGTAGCTGTGTATAACTTCAAGTTGTCTACCTAAGTGCATGTTAAAATGCAGGACTTATGTGCAGTCCAAGCCTTGGTTCCTGAACCATCTAAAGACAAGCGTGTCTCAATAGTACAGAAATTTGCTATGAAAGATATTTTCCTTCTTTCTTCTCTCCTTATTATTTTTCCTCCTTTCAGCCATCTAGAAACACTTTCCATTAATCATTCACGCTCAAAGTGCTTCTCCATTCATTTACAAATGGTTTTTTAATATGATAAGGAGTCAATTATGTTAAAAAACCAGAAAGATACTGTATGTGATTCAGTGAATAAATAGCTAACTCCAGATGCTAGATTTCAAAATGCACACAAATGCAGGACTATTTATATCAAGACTTTAAGTATACAACTCTAGCCTATTTTTTTTAAAAAAAAAAAACAGGATGAGTAATATTTTTTAAAAAGAAAGCTAAATTCTGGATTTTTCTTACAGGGGATTTAATAATGATGGTGAAAATATAAACCTGACTAGGTTAGTGTTTTCGTATGGTATTTGTCTGAGTCTATACTCAGTTGTCAAGACCTTATGCTGTTTGGTTATTTTATTTGATTCCATTTGCAGATTGTGCAGTAGAAAAGAATGATATACAACATGTGAGAAATGCTTCTTTTTGACATAACCACATCTATATTTGGGATAATGTTAGAAAGCAAAAATAAAGAATAAGTATACCACAAGAACAAAATCTGTTCCAGGCATTGACAAATAACTGGCAGAGAAAATTTCCATTGTTGAATGTCTTGGTACACATATTTTCTTTCAAGCCTTGCATACAGGGATGCAATTACTTTGGATCTAATACTTACCATGGAAGCATGGATGAAAAAATCAGGGATACATACTGGAAGAAAAGATTATGATTAACTCAAAAAAGAAGCTAGATACAATCCAGTGGCTTGAAATCCTGAAAGAGGACAATGTCCAGTAAAGAAGAAAAATCCTAGAAAATGCAATTATAAAAAAATACTTACTAGTAGAAAAAAATGGGAGGCCTGTTTAGAGACCTGTGTCTCTCCACAGAACTCCCCCCCCCAAAAAAAAAAATTATAGAAAGTGGGGGAAATGGGGAAAGGTGCATAAAACCAAATACCAATACTATATAAGGCAATTGCAAGAAACTAAACATTGTGTCAGAAAGGTTAAATGTCAGAACAAACTGAAACTTGCAAGAAATAACCCAAATAAGAAAACAGCATTTTCAGAAACAAATGATACATTAAAAACAAAAAAAGCCAAAAGTATTGGAAGAAAAAAGAAGGGATAATGGTGAGGAAGCAGAACTTTTAAATACTATTTTCTGCTTATTTTCACTCAGGCAACAAAGCTCCAGCTGGCTATGAAATAAAGGAGCTGCAGCTTAGGATAGACAAGGAGCAAACACAAGAACACTTAACTAATTTAAACCAGCAGGATGAATTACAGGTAGTTCTTTACTTAATATCTGTCACTTAGTGACTTGTTGAAGTTATGATGGACTTCCTTGGGAACACATACAATCTGGATTCTAAGTTCCGATGGTGGGGCCACCACTCTTGTAGTTATGTGATCACATTTTGGGCTCTCCGCAACCAACTCACATTTATGGCAGTTTGCAGCATCCTGCAGCCAGATGATCACTATTGATTGTTTTTTTCTCAGAAACTGGCAATTTTTGGCAGTTTTTTGGGGGGTGGGAACATCTGCTGAGGACAATGAATTCACTTAACAACTGAGATATTCACTACAAGAAATATTGTTATTTTATGTGAATATACAAAGATGAGAGTCAGGATCAGTTTTAACTGAAACAGTTTCTTATATTTATAAAATATAAACATAGGTAAATAGGTGATATTTCAGAACTAACTTGGAAGGCCTGTAATTCCATTGGCACTTGGGGGATGGGGGAACAACACTAGTAAGATTACATACCTTATTATCAGTCTAATTTGTTGACAAGTAGATAAACAGGGAAGGTCCTCTTATGTTGATCTCAGGAGTTTAGTTTTTGACTATTGAGTAGGATACCTTACATAGAGAGAGCAGGTCAGGTTGCCTCATGTTAACCCACAATGTTATTTATAAACCATGACTAATATCTTAGTGTTCAGATGAATCCAGCAATTACTGTGTATTCAACCATAATGAAAACAAATTATAGCTTAGCATAGTATGCAAAGTCGGGTCCTATGTATATTTTTCCTTTAACTGGCTAGCATTTCTTAATACCATCTAATACTTGAGTAGACTGCTAAAACGATTCCAAGATTTCAGAGACTGAGTGAGAGGAGAAATGTAGGGCTATGATATCTGGCTAGCAAAAATCGGGGGATAATTGTTCCAGCTAATGGTCATCGGAAATTTTGCAGCTCAGGTAAGTGGACAGGTTAAAAAGGGAAGCATAGATAAGTATTATGGTACAAAGCGGCCATTTAAATGCTGCTTATTTTCATACATTTGAAATAATTTTAAAATCTTTGTTTTTTACTTAAACTATGAAGGAGCTTCAGAA